TATGAGTGTTTTAAATACTTTCTATATCTTTTCACTCTCTATATCATCTTTCGATAAAGAGAGTTTGTAATTTTAATGTAGCCAAAGTTATCTTTTCCAGGAGACTTATGCTCTTTGTTTCCTGTGTAAGAATATTCCCTGCCTCATGTTAATAAAGATATTTCAAAACACCATCTTCTAAAAGTTTCAGAGTTTTGCCTTTCATGTTTAGGCTTTTAAGTCATGTGGAGTTAATTTTTGTGATGTAGCAGGACTCATTTTATTTTTTTCCCTTATGGATAACTGATAATCCCGGCACCATTTATTGAAAAGTTCATACCTACTGGCCAGCAGACTCAGTCTCTCTCTCTCTTTCCTGGGATTTCATTTTTGTTCCGTTGTCCTACTTGCCTGTCTTCGTGTCAGTAACACACTCCCTTTTTGCTGTAGCTTTGTAATGTCTTGCTGTCGACCGGGACTGATTCCATCATCACCCTCTCCCCGCCCTCCTCCTTCAAGGGCGCCTTGGCTGGTCTCAGCCCTTTGCACGTGCATGTAAATTTTACATTCAGCTTATCCAGTTCCAAAAAATACCTGCGGTGATTTTGGTGAGGATTGCCTTGACTCTGTAGAGCAGCGTGGACGGAATCGGCATAGTTCTAGTACTGAGTTTTTCAATCCGTGATAGTGGCTCAACCGTGCAGTTTCAGATCTTCCTTAACGTTTCACAATAAAATTTTATGATTTTATTTCATAAGGACTTTGCACATTTTCATCAGATTTATTCCTAGCTAGTTTACATATTTTTATTATCTTACAAATGATATCTTGCTTTTCTTCATTTCCTAATTGTTTATTGCTTGCACAGAGAAACACAAAACAACAGAGTTTTGTATATTGATGTTTTTAATCCATCAGTTTTGCTAAATTCTTACTAATTCTGATAAACAATTTGAAGAATTTTTTGGATTTTCTGCATAAAATCTGGAAATAATGAGTCTTGTTGATTTATTTCTAATATTTTCACCTTTGTTTCATTAGACACTAGACAGCGCTGTCCAATAGAAAGCTGATGCGAATCACACATGCCAGCCACGGGCAGCATTTGAAATTTTCTAGCAACTACATTAAAAACTTAGAAGAAGCAAATGAAATTAATTTTATAATGTATTTCATATAACCCAATGTATCAAAAATACCATTGTTGCAATATGTAATCAATATATAAATTATTAACGAGACATTTTATGGTGGTTTTCTTTTGTACTAAGTTTTTAAAATCCAGTGTGTATTTAACTTTGCTCTTATATCTCAATTCAGACTAGTCACATTTCAAATTCTCAGTAGGCACAGGTGGCTACTGGCCACCACATTGGGCAACTCGGCTCTAGGATGTCCCGTGCAGTGTTTAATAGAAATGGGGAGTCCATTCATCCTTGCTTTGTGACCAGTCTCACGGGGAATGCTTTCAATGTTCACCTTTAATTAGGATATTTGCTGTACGGTTTTTGCAGATACCTTTATGAGGATAAAGACATTCTCTTATATTCCTAGTTTGCTACAAGTTTTAAAACATTAACGGATGGCAAATTTTTCCTTCTAAGGAGATGACCATGTCTTCCTCCTTTAACGTTTAATGTGGTGAATTACCTTAACTGATTTTCAAACGTTAAAACAACCTTGCATTTCTGGACAAGACCCGATTTTGTCACAAAGTATTATCATTTTTACATACTGCCAGATGTGGTTTGCTAAAGTTTTGTTTAGGATTTCTGTATCTCTATTCATGAGTGACACTGGCCTATAATTTTTTTATACTGTATTTGTCATAAAAAGAATTGGGAAGTATTCCCTCTTTTTCTATTATGTGGAAAAGTTGGGGTAAGACTGGAATTATTTCTCCGTTAAATAACTTCAAGGTGAAGCCCTCTGGCCTGAGTTTTCTTTGTGGGAACACTACTGATGAACAATTCAATTCCTTTAATGGCTGTGGGGAGGTCTGATATTTAGCCGATGCCACGGGACTTCAGGTTGCTGCAGTACCAAAATAGTTTCATACAAGTTGGTATACACCCACCACTCCCAACCTCCTAAGTGTAATAACCCCATCACGGCTGCCCCAGAGACCCTGGACCTTCCGATGACATATAGATCAAAGAGTTACTGCCTGGCATAGCCAGGGGCCTCTTGGACTCTGCTCACTGCTAAGGCTGGCACCTGTTACGAATGCTCAGTGCCTGGTTGTTAAATATTTTGGTATTACGACCTGGGCTGGTGCTCATTCAAGTTTTCTCTTGAGTTAATTTTGGTAAATTATATTTTTCTTGGAATTTGTCTATTTCATTAAAAATTTCAAGCTATTGTAATAAAGTTATTCATAATATCCTTTATCTTTTCTTTTTCCAATGTCTGCAGACTCTTCAGCTTTTCATTCTTGATATTGGTTAATCATGCTTTCTCTCTTTTTTCTTGATCAGTTTCACCAGGGGGTTGTCAATACTTTTAGTCTCTTCAAAGAAATAATTTTTGTTTCTGTGGATCCTATTTCATTACTTTCTGCCTTACCTTTATCTCTCCTTTTGTTTTCTTTGGTTTACTTTACTGCTCTTTTTCTGGCTTCTTGAGATGGGCATTTACTTATTGCTTTCAGCCTTTCTCTTCTCTAATATAAGTGTTAAAGGCCATAAACTTCCCTTTAAGTCCTGTTGGAGCTGTATGCCACAATTTTTTATATGTAATATTTCCATTCTCATTCAGTTAAAAATATAATTTCCATAATCATTTTTTGATCCATCAGTTATTTAGAAATGTACTTTTTAATTTCCAGACCTATGGGGCTTTTGAAGTTATCTTTTCGTTATCGATCTCTGGCTTATTTGTGTTGTGGTCGGAGAATGTACTCTATATGATTTCTGACTTTTGAAATTTCTTGATATTTACTGTTTTTTGTAAATATTCCAAATGTCTTGAAAAGGAGAGTATTCTGCAATTGTAGCCGCAGTGTTTCTATAGAGGTCCATTAGTCAAGGTTCTACATCATATCCTTACTGAATATATTTCTGCTTGTTCTATCAATTACAGAGGGACGTGTTTTAAAATCTCCCACTATAATTGTGGATCTATTTCTCTGTGTAGTTCGCTTCATGTTTCTTATATTTTAAGACTATGGTATTTGCAAATACATTTGAAATTGTTCTATCTTTCCAGTAAATTGGACCATTTTCATTATAAAGTGACCTCCTTTATCTCTAGTGAGGTTTTCCGATATTAAAATAACTTCACTGGCCTTCTTTTCGTTAGCCTTTGCATCCTATATTACTGTCACCCTTTCAGTCCCCTTATGTTTTGGAAAGGTCTCTTGGGGATGTCTCTTGTAAATTGCATGTAGTTGGATTTTTATCTAGTCTGATAATCTTTGTATTATAATTTGGATAAATACACACTGCATTTCCATTCTTTTAGCGTTTACCCTGGCAATGACAGCTTGTACTCTTAACTCATCAAAGTCTACATGTATTTGGTATCTATCTTTACTTTCCTTCTGAACAATATAAGGATCTTAGAATACTTTAACTCCACTCACAATGGCAAGTTATGTGCCATTGTTGTTGTGTGTTTTAATTCCATTTTTATCTGGAAGACATTGTTATTGTTTTATATCATCATCGTCCATTGTTCTTTATTCCCTGTGGCATCAGACCTCTCTGTGATCATCTTCCTCCCGCTTGAAGTTCCTCCCTTGGAATTTCCTTTAGGGAGTGTCTGCTAGTGGCAAAGGCTGAGTTTTTGTCTTTGTAAATGTTATTATTTCACCTCGTTCTGGAAAGATATTTTCACTGGGTACATAATTCTTGAAAGAAATTTTCACTGGATATCTAATTCTAAGATGATGGCTATTTCTTTTTTCGGGACACTGGATAGTCATTCCACTGCCTCTGGCTTCAGTTGTTCCCGACAAAAAGTCAAGTGTAAATCTATCACTTCTTTTTTCTGTGCGCCAGACAGAAGCCTTTGGACTCTACTCCGAGGGAAACAGGGAGGCATGGAAGGTTTTTAAGCACTAGGGTGACCGGTCCTGTCTGCATTTTAGAAAGCGCACTGTGGCCCTGCGTGGACACTGCCTGGGAGGGGATGGCGGCTCAGTGAGAAGGTTGCTGCAATCCAGAGAAAGGACGGGGGATGTGTCGGGGAGATCAGAGAGGCCGAGCTTGGGATCAATGCAGCGAGGCGGTGGGCGCGGGAGAGGCACAGATGGCTCCGGGTTTCCAGCGAGGATGAATGGAGGCGCCGTAGACACGGACGGGGGTCGGGGTAGGTGAGGATGAGTTCGCCTGGGACCTCAAGATCCATTCATTGCACAAATGGTCGAACACCTACTAAGTGTCCAGCCCCAAGCGCGTGTGTGGGGGGACTCGGGGCAGCGTGGCAGCAAACCCCGCGCCGGTGAGCACTTGTCCCCGCCGCGGCCACACCGGCCGAGGATTACTGTCGAGCGGGGGCCCCGGAGGCAGCGGACAGACGGACTGATGGACGTGGAGGCGTCTGCTCCGAACCGGCCAATCCGCGCCGCTCCGCAGCCCCGATCCAGAGAGACCTAGGTCCCCTGACCCCCGACAGGGTGGGAAACCGGGCCGTCCGCGCCCTCCCGCGGCTGGAGGTCCGCGCCCCGGCCCTGGTCGCTCCCTGGTGGGAGGCGGGGCGAGCGGCCTCCCGGCTCTGCCTCTTTCCTTATGTGCCCAGCCCCAGCCATGCCGCTTCCGCCCCGCAGAGTCACCGGGAGGATTTTAGGAAACGCGTCTGGGTGTTGGGATCCGGGATCGTCCCGGCGCAGCGGCGCCCGCGCCAAATAAGTCCCGCGGGCCCGCGGCTCGGCTCCCGGCGGGGGCGGGGCTCCGGGGGGCGTGGCCGAGGCCGGCGGGGGCGGGGCCTGGAGAGGGAGGTCGGGAGGGAGGGGCGTGACCTGCCGGGCGCGAGCCGAGCCCCCGCCCCGCCCCCTCCCGCGCGCCCGCTCGCTCGCTCGCGCCGAGGAAAACGTTGCGCAGGTTCAAAAATGGAACGTCGGCGGCGTGAGGGAGCGCGAGGGGGTGTGCGCGCGTGCGCGTGCGCGTGCGCGCCCGGGCGAGGGTGACGGGGACCCCGCCGGCCCGAGCATCGCGCGCCGCAGCCGCGGCCCCGCAGCTCCGCCCCCGGCCCGGCCCGGCCCCGGGCCCGCTCGCCCGCCGCCCCGCATGGAGCTGTCAGCCATCGGCGAGCAGGTGTTCGCTGTGGAGAGCATCCGGAAGAAGCGCGTGCGGAAGGTGAGGCTGCCCGGGGGCGGCTCCCAGGACCCCTGTGGGGTCCCCTCCTGTTCCCAGCACCGTCCCTTCCACGCTGGGGGCGGGGGAGAAAGTGGGGCGGGGGGCCCCAGGCAGCCCCGCGCTGCTGGGCTCGTCTCCCCAGTCCGTGCCTCAGTTTCCCCCGCCACCTCGTAGGGCGAGTAGAATAAAAGTTGTCGCCCCCGGATGTTGGGGCATCTGAGCCCGCCAGAGCTGGAGATTCGGATCGGACTGTAGGGATCCCAAATGCCTTGCTTCCTCATCCTCCCTTCATTCTAAATTTGGGGAGACTGAGGCCCAAGTTGAGGAAACGGCTTGCCTAGTGTGTTAGCGTCGGACTGGGTCTCGAACTCAGAACTCTGGACTTTTGGTACCAAGACCTGTGAAGATGGAGGCGGAGCTGTGCAACAAGCTCCCGCGTCTGATGTCTAATTGCTGGACTTGGACCTTTTCCGATCCCTTCTACACCCTCACCTCCGCCTTTCTCCCCTTCTTCCAGTGCACACCCCTCCGTCGTCCCCACCCCAGCTCTCAGCCCCGCCCGCCCGGCCGGCTCAGCGAAGCCGCCTACAGCGCTGGGGCATCCTCGAAGCTCCTCCCCCTTCGCCTTCGCCTCCAAAACATACAGCCTGCAATTTAAGGAGGCGTCTGCTCTGCTGAGTTCGGGTCCCCGCGCCTCGGGGCTGGACTTTGGCGGTCCCCACTTCCTGTGCACATGTTTGTAGAGTGAGCTCGCCTCAGACTGGAGGTTGGAGATGGAAGTCCTTGAGGAAAGTTCCTCTCGGGCACTCACCACCATCCTTTTCCCTTATCTCCTCCCTGCAGCCCCTTGGGAGGCCCCAGCCGCAGGGCTGGGCGAGGTCTTAGAGGTCACCTCCTCCCATTTGACAGAGGCAGAAACCGAGGCCAAGGCAGGGGAAGTGACCTGGTCAAGGTCACTCGGCAAGGTAGAGATGGAGGTAGAGCAGGGGCTGAAGCTGGCTGATTGCCAGTGCATCTTCTTTTGGGAGAGAAAACTCAGTCCTGGCATCTTGGGCCAAGGGTGAAGGTCAAGGTGGGCCATGAGCTGCTTTTCTTCCCCCAGCTCTAGGGGGGTTGAGCTCTGTCTTCAGGTTGGGGTTGCTCCTCCTCCTCCTTCTCCCTTCCTCCAGGGTTTCCTCGATTTTAATTTCTTCCGCAAAGCCCAGTGCTTTCCATGCTGTGTAGCCTAAGCAGGTCCAGCAATTATATGCCCCTTCTACAAGGGGCCAGGGTGAGGAGCATCTTTCCTTCAGCCATTCTTTTGAAATATGTTTACGGAGGATCTGTTATGTGCCAGGCACCATTCTAAGCCCCAGGGAGGGGTACCTCCCTTCCCTCATGGAGCTGGGGTTCTGGCGGAGGAGACACAGTGAAGGAGGAAATAAACACAGATGCCTCACAGGGGGCTGTGGTCTATGCAGAAAGAGAAGCGTGAGGTGGGAGGTTGGCATTAGAAAGGCTAGCCAGGGCAGGCCTCTTTGAGGAGGTGACATATCTTGGTCTTAGAGCTCCTGGGTGGAGGGGTTTCACTTATTGGATGGGGTTGGACTGGAAACTTTTAAAGGGCCCTGTCAGCTGTGAGGAAGGGAGGCGCCTGGCTCAGTTTTCTAACTACTGGAGGGGTGGCCACCATTTCTGAAGGCGGAGACTTTGTTAGCCTTCTCTGGGTTCCTGCCAGGGCCTTTCGAGTGGAGAGTCCTAAAGTCACTGGTCTGTCACCTCTGGGCCAGAGGCAGCCTCTCCCAGGGAGGGGGCTAGAGGGGCTTAGAGCCATGGGGAAGGCCCCATTGAAGAATTTTCTAGGACATGGAGAGTCTTCGGATCTAAATAGGAAAGAGAGTCCTGGTCTTAGCACTGGGACTCTGGATACTGGATCCTTGGTGATGCACGCCCCTGTGTGGTCTCAGTTTCCCCACATGTGACATGCACTCTGAGCTTCTGCCACAGGAGTCCCAGAGGTGTTTGGGGCCAGATGTACTCCTGCACTCTACTAGGGGGGGTGGTCTGGGGTGGTCACGCAGCAGCCAAAGTCTGGGGGGCTCTGAGTTGGTGGGGATCTGATGGGCGACCCTGGATGGTGTGTATATGTTGTTGGATGTCTGTCTGCAGAGAGGGTGGGCCTGACTGTTCTGAAAGTGGTCGTGGGGCAGCCGTGTATCTCACTGTGTCTGCTTCTCTCTCTTTCTTCCAGGGTAAAGTCGAATATCTGGTGAAGTGGAAAGGATGGCCCCCAAAGTAAGGCTCCTGTGTGTGTGTGTCTGCCTTGAGTCCTTCCAGCCACCTTTTGCGCTCTCTCCTGCCTGGCTTTTAGCTCCAGCTGTTCTAGTAATTGGCCAGCAGACCTTGATTAGATCATCCTCTTCTTTGGGTCTCAGTTTCCCCTCTGCCAGCTGAGGGGCTTGGAGCACATGAGGGTCAAGGTGGGCTCCAGCTTCTCTTCTCACCTGCTCCCCTCTAAACGGAGCTCCATCTTGTCGTTGGAGCCTCCCCTCCCCTCTGTCTGGCTTTTCCTGGTACCTGGGAGGTGAAGGTCCAGCCTCTTAGCTTCAGAGATGACTGCTGGCCAGGTGGAGGGGCCCCGAAGCCGCAGCAGGTACAGTGCAGGGTGGGGGTTTGTGGGGCTGGGTAAAACAAGTGGAGCGAGCAGGGCACGGGTCCTCAGAGCCATAGAGCCAGGGACAGAGCCTGAGGCCGCCTCGCCTTTGGACAGCACTCTCCAGTCTACAGAGCAGGTTCCCAGGCAGCCTTGTGAGGCAGGTGTGGTGTGATCTCTAAAGATGAGGAAACAGGCTCAGAGAAGGTAAGCAGCTTGCTTTAGGTCGCACAGGAAGTGGAGGCAGAGTTGGGAGTTGAAGTAGACCTCCCCGTGTTCGGTGTTCCGGTATCTCCTCTGTGCCTCCTCCATCTGAGAGTTGAGGGGGCAGGGAACTGGGTCCAGGACCTCTCCCTGTGGCCCCACCTCTCCTGCTGAGGCCCAATCAGGAACCTTCCCACCAACCAATCGCCTCCCAGTAGGGAGTTGTTGTAGGGGGAGGGAATGAGCACGTCGTGGGGCCTCCCCATTGGTCTGTGGGTGCCCCACCCCCTGCCCTGCCTCCCAGAGACTGCTGGAAACCCCTTCTGCCCAGAGCCTCTGCTGTCTGTGCCAGGGGCTTTCTGCTGTGCTGGTTTTGGGGGCTGAGCTGGTATTGGGTCCTGGGAGCGTTTTGGGGGCATAGTGGAGTCACAGCAGAGGGGAAGACAGCCCATGCTGCCTCAGCTTCCCTTTCTGCAAAATGGGTTCAATAGTCCAGGCTCTGCCATCCTCTCACAGGCTCCTTCACCTTGTGGGGTGAAAGGCCCGGGCACGTGTTCAGGGTGACCCACAGGCATCCTAATGATTGGGGTCGGTGGCTGGCCCTTCCACTCCTGCTGCCCCTTCCCCAACACCCCGGGACTGAAGGAGGATCCCCTCCTCCACTGGGCAGATGAGAGCTGGACTTCCGGCCTGGGCGAAGGGGTAGTAAGAGGAGCGGGAGAGCTAGAAGAGGAAGATGCCAGGGTGCAGCCCAGCACTGGCTCCTTGGGTCCTCGTTGCTCCCTTAGCTTCAGCACCAGAAAGCATCGTGTTGGAGTGTGGTCACCAGCCTGTTGGCCTTCAAGGCACTGTTGGCCATTTTTCCTCCTCTGTAGACTCCATCTTTTGAAAGATTTCCTTCTCGAAACAGAGGTACTTAGAATTAAAAGTTCCTTCTCCCACTTTGATTAATCCCAAATGAATATGTCTGCCCACTAGAGCGTCCCTCCGGAGGGCAGGACCCAGTGCTCCAGGAGCAGTCCCTCCGTGTTTCTGCTGGCCTGAGACCACCAGATGGGCCCTCATGACTGCCTTTTGTGACCCCTCAAGGGTGTTCTGGGAGCCCTGTTTGACCAGATGACCTGGGACACCTGTGACTCCCCCACGCTTTGGTGCTGGGCTCCTGGCCTGGCTGCCCGCTGGACAGCTGTGAGTCCCTGGCAGTTACCCGACATGGCGAGGCCTCTGCTTCCTCATCGCCAAACTGGAATAATAAAGCCTCTGCCGCAGCACTGTTCTGAGGATTAGATGACAGCTATAAAGTACCTGGCACGTGCTCAGCCCACTCCAGCACTTGGTAAACGTTTGCTGTTAACAGAAAGTTAGACAGCTGGGCTTCTGGGGCACCCCAGGCTGGGAGAGGATCTAGGGGATTCCACTTCTCCCAGGAGCTCAAAGCAGCCGTAGAAATCATTTAGATCAGTCTTCTAATTTTTCAGATGGGGAAACTGAGGCCCAGAGAAAGGAGGTCATTACAAGAATAGTACTGCCAACTTGGTGCAGTGTGGTACCCACTTCATGCATCCACTGTGCCACCCCACTTCGCTTGGGGGAAAACAGAGGTTCAGTTGCGGGGGAAGACGAGGGGGGACCAGGGCTCCTTTGTAACCCACTTGGTCCTCACTCTCCCCTCCTCAGGGGGCTTTGCGTGGAGCAGAGGCTGAGAAAGGCGGGGGAGTCGGGCAGGCTGCTCCCTGCCGGCCTGGGAGCGTTGGCTGGGGCAGTGCCAGCCGCGGCGGGGAGGGAGTCAGAGGCCCCTCTCCGCAGCACCCTCCTCACCCTGGGCAGGGAGGCCTGTAGTAATAACAGAAACATAACAGGAACCACGGTTTCCACAATGATCGCTCTGTGCCAGGCGTCTGTTAAGCCTTTACACGCTTTGTCTATTTTCTCTCCCAGACAGGAGACAAATGACTGCCCTTCCTCCCCAGCAGATGGGGCAGAGGAGCTGTCTTGGTTGTTCTGGAAGGTACAGCAAATGGCACAGGCAGGGGCTGAGGGCACGGAGGGCAGAGGATGCTGAATCATCAGCTACAGGTGCTCTCAGTCCTGCAGCGACCCTCAGCTCTCCCCTTCTCCTTGCAGCCTGCCCGGGACTGCTGTTCTGTCCTTCCCTTCCCACTGGTGAATGCTACCCCATCTTTTAGGAGGACTGCCTCCATGGAGCTTTAGTAATGATATTGTCAGTGGGTAAGCTCATAACCAGGCTGCCAATCAATCAGCCCCTATCATGATCAGGCGATGGCCCATTTAATTGCATCTCGGAAACCCATTTTATAGATGGAGAGAAAAACCCTCAGCAGAATGGTCCTTGCCCAGGGCCATACAGCTGGGACGAGCTGCCAGACGGCAGGGCTTGGGGGCCTAGCCCCAGTGAAACACAGCCAGCTCTACCAACGATGACCAAGGATCCCTTGTGTGGTGGCCTTTTGGCCAGTTCAGTAGGAAGTGGTCAGGTTCCGAGCCAGAGCAGACTGCCTTTGAACCCAGGTTCTGTAAATTTACCAGCTGTGTGGCCCAGGGCAAAGCCCTCAGCCTCTCTCTGCCTCCCTTTCCTCACCTGTAAGATGAGGGCCTGGACTCCATGGTCCTGCTGAAGGCTGCCTGAGACCAGAAAAGGTTCCTAACACAGCCACAGGCGGAGGAGGTGCTTCCTCCTCCTCCAAGACGGGTTGGGCAGCGGCAGCAGCAGCAGAGTCTGGGGTTCGGGTCCTGGCAGGTTTCTGCGCTCTCTAGGCTTTTAAAATTTATTTAATTAACGCTTATTTGCATTTATTATGTACCACACTGATGTAAGTGCTTTCCGTGGCTGAACACATCCAGTTGTCACATCAGCCCTAAAAGAGAGGCCTGGGGAGACGAAGGCCCCAGAGACCGAGTCCCTCGCCCGCCGCCGTACCTGGCAGGCTCTACCCGAGCCCGCCGCGCAGCTGCTCCTGGGGGCGACCGTGAATTGGACGGGCTGCTGCGGGCCGGGCGCTGCTGGGCCCCGTCGCCCCGCCCCCAGCACGGCGGGAGCCTGCGCGGAGGGCCGCGGGCGGGGCGGCCGCCGGCCTGTTTACCGGGCCTGGGGGGGGGGGGGGGGGGGGCGGGGCGGCGGTCACGTGGCCGTGTTTACCTCCGAGCCGGCGCGCGCCGGCCCCGCCCCGCCCCCGCCCCCGCCCCCGCCCCCCATTGGTTGGCTCGGTAACCCGGCGCGCGACCCCGTGCGTGCGTGCGTGCGCGCGCGCGCGCGGTGGCCCGGCAGCGGGAGGGGGCGGGGCGAGGGGCCCTCCGCCCCCGCGGCGCGCTCGGTTCCCGCCCAGCTGCGCCGCCTCCCTCTGAGCTCCCGGCAGGAGTCCCGGCCCCGCTCCCCTCCCGCCCGGGCCCCGCCGCTGCGCGCTCCTGTCCTGCCTGCGCCCGGCTCTTCCCAGAGCGGGCTTGCCTTCGCTGTGGCCTCCGGCTCCCCACGCGGCGGGGCGGCGCTAGCGGCCTCCATCTTAGGGGGCCGCGCGCGTCGGGGAGACCCTTGGCAGGCCCCCTCCCCATCCCCCTGCACGAGGCAGGGCCAGGCCTCCTGCCGCCAAGACTAGTCCTGTCTGGTGGCCTCAGACCCCCAGCTGCCCCAGGCCAGAACAGTCCCCCGTGAATCCGCTGTGTGCCAGGCCCGGGGTCAGACACCCAGGATGTGGTCAATCAGACCGAGCCCCCTCCCAAGGACGTCGCAGCCTGGGGGAGCCGGATACAGTGACATGTGAGGGACCCGCAGGTAGAGAGAGGGTGGCTGAGATTCAGCTGAGTTCCAGCTACAGACTGGCCACTTAACTAGCTCAGTGACCTTGGCAAGATGCAAACCCTCTGTGCCTCAGTTTCTTCATGTGTAAGATGGGGATAACCTACCTCATAAGGGTGTTATGAGGAAGGGATGCGTCCCTGGCGGTAGTCGTGCTCTCGCACCTCCTGTTACTGTGGTGGTGGCAGTTATTCTTAAGAGGAGGAAATTGAAGTCCAGAGAAGGTTAGGGACTTGCCAGGAACCACACAGCAGCTACATCAGCAGAAAATGGGCAGGGCAGTGGGGAAGTGGGCAGGGCGGAGAGGACTGGAGCGCGGTAGAGACTTTTCAACAGTGAGAGAGAGGGCGAGGCAGACCACACCCGAGGCGCACAGAATCCGCCCTCTCGTTGCTAGTTAGAGTTGAGGAAATTCACCCTTTGTCTTAGGGGAGGAAGGCTTGGAGTCCCTGCCAGCCTCTGGTTGGTTATAGATTGGGCTCTACCCAAACTATAAAAACCCCAGTTTCACTTCGAGCATTTCTTCAGGGTTAGCGGAACTGCGGGGCCTTCATTCATTTCCAGAGCACCTGGGCGTGCGGGGCTGGGCGCTTTCACGTGGGTGGGTGGACGGTTACCATCTGTGTCTGCGGCCAGGATGCCCGCTGGGTTCATCAATAACCATGGCAGGTGCAAAGTGCAGCAGTAAGAGGGGGGCAGGCGAGGGGAGGGTTCTTTCTGCTTCTAGTGAGACAGTTTGGAGAGTCAGGGGAAGCTACAAGGACCTGGCTCTTAAAGGACGAGGGACAGCACTCCGGGAGGAGCGCAGAGCATGTGCAAAGCAAGGGCGGTGGGACCCTGCCTGGTGCGAGTAGGTGTGCAGCAGTGTCAGGAAGAAGGGAGGGAAGGATGCTGCCCTCGGGGAGCAGGTGGTTCGAACCTAGATCGGACTACTGTCAGGTGTCTCTGTGTTCCAGACAGTGTAAGGTGAAGGCTTTAGCTCGCGCATTAGGAGTCGGCAGGGGCGGGGGCTCTGCCCACCTCTTTCTGCTTCCTGGTCCGGCCCCAATACCCGCTCGCCTCCCTTCTCATCCAGCCCAGCTGGCTGCAGCCTCAGCCAGAGTTGTAGTCCACGGCTTTGTTTCTGCTTGTACACACATGCACACGTATATGTGTATTTGTATGTTTGTATGTATATTGTGTATTTGTGTGCATGCATATATATACACACGTATATATTTTAAAGTTTAAATTTTTGTATGCACTAGCATCTGTTTGTGGTGAGTGATAGTGGTTTTTCCATTTATAGAAGTCATAAAGGTTTTTTTTTTTTTGAGGAAGATTGGCCTTGAGCTAACATCTGCTGCCAAGTCTCCTCTTTTTGCTGAGGAAGACTGGCCCTGAGCTAACATCCATGCCCATCTTCCTCTACTTTATATATGGGATGCCTACCACAGCATGGCTCGATAAGCAGTGCATAGGTTTGTGCCCAGGATCCAAACTGGTGAACCCCAGGCCGCCAAAGCGGAACATGTGAACTTAACTGCTCTGCCACCGGGCTGGCCCCTAAAGTTTGCTTTTAAAATAAAATTATTTAAACAAAAAAGTGGGCTGCTTTAAAGGCAGATACTAAGTAAGTACATGTGCAGGTGGAACGAGGATGGCTGAGCTCGGGAACTGCTGAGCTGTCACCGCCCAGGTCTGTCCCATCAGGGGATGCTCTCCTGTCTGGGGGTGGTAGAAGGTCCCCTGTGGAAATACCACAGGCTCTGCCACAGGATTGCTGCACCGTCCGGTCACTGGACATTTACCGAATTCCTGCTGTGGGCCAGGCCCCGAGACCAGGGGACTTCAGAGCACAGAGAGGGAGCGAGCAGCTCACCCTGGCAGAGGAGGCCCTGCTGGGCTGGGGATGGAGGGGTGGGTAGGGACAGCAACAGTAACAGACACAGAGCACTTCCTGTGAGCCAGGCACTGCTCTAACACTTAGACACATGGACGCATTTAATCATGAGTCCTTTACAGATGGGGAAATGGAGGCACAGAGACATTAAGCAAACTGTTCAAGGTTGCACAGCTAGCAAGGCCGGAGCTGGGATGTGAGCCCAGGCAGTCTGGCTCCAGAGCGCCTGCCCTTTAGCACATGCTCTGTGTCTCTTGGGGAGGGAAACTGGGGTTTACGGGGCCTGCCCCTTCCAGGCACCTATTGTTCTGAGATGAACATGGGGGGTTGACACAGTTATTATAGAGTGTTGTGATCAGTGCTAAGAATGAGGGGAGTTCTGCTGTCATTGGAGCCACAGGAGGCCCCTGACCTGGCCTGGGTAGCCAGGGATGGCTCCTGGGAGTAGGCGACAATTATACTGGACCAGGAAGGGGCACGGGCCTGCAGACAGTGGGCCCAGTGGAGCAGCTGCGGCCCCCGTGAGTGCTGGGGCTAGGGGCAGGGCGACTCTCACCTCTGGTCTCTCTCCCCAGGTACAGCACGTGGGAGCCAGAAGAGCACATCTTGGACCCCCGCCTGGTCATGGCCTACGAGGAGAAGTAAGGGGGCGCAGCCTGCCCCTGGGGCTGGGTAGAAGGCGGGCGCCGAGGTTTCCTAGGGAGCCTGCCGCTGGCTGGGCTCTGAACAAGAGTCATGGGTGTGGGGGTGCGTCTGGCAGGGATACCACGGTCTAGTCTGTAGCTGGGGGAAGGTGATGGGCACCGGGTCCCAGGGCAGCCAGGGGCTCTGGTCCCTCTCCTGTTACTGGGTGATGTTGGCCACTTCCCTTACCTCCCCAGGCCTCGGTCTCTCTGCTGTGAAGTGGGCCACCCTAATAACACCTGCCCTGATTTTCCCATAAGCTGCGGTGCGGAATGTGAAAGTTTCACAGAGATGCCCTGCATGAGAGGGGCAGCAAGATCAGTAATGCCCAGTCATGCCCTTGGTGACAGAGCAGAGAGAGATTCTCCCTGGAGAGTCTCCCACCAAGAGAAGGCAGTCTGATGAGGCTCAAGAAAGGCCGGGGGGAGCGTGGCTTTGGAGCCGGGATATCTGAGTTCTGGTATGTCCCGCTGGGCCACCTCCAAGTGGAGTGGTGTTGGGCACAGCCACACGTGGCCCATCTACTGCAATCCTCAGCTTGGTTACTGCTTGGCAGCTCCTCTGATGGGTGACGAGGCGGAGCCTCTCTCAAAAATGGCGTTTCTCCTGGTCGGGGGCCTTTTGAGCGTAATCTAGCCTTTCCCTTCCGCTGTGTGAGCCCCAGCATTACTGACCGCCCGGCCAGCGGGCAGCCCCAGTCCTTCTGCCCTCCCCGACCCACCGACCCTGTACAGTGCAGGATCGCTTTATAAAGTCGTTTTTATTTGACTCCTTCCAGTAAGCTCCTGATATAGGGATGTGGGTCTCATTTGACAGATGGGGAAACTGAGGCTCTGAAGAACTGAGGGACTTGTCCAGGAGCCTCACAGCTGGGAAGTGGCCCCACCAGACCTCAGCCCGGGGCTCCTGCCTCTGTCCTCCTTCCCGCTCTGCTCCCCCAGGAGCTTTCCTGCTGTGCATTCAAAGAAGTTTCCACTGTTCTTTCCTTTAAAAGTCAGGCTCTCCCTGTCCCATGATCTTTCTGGTTCCCGGGTGCTTGGTGGGGCCTTGATCCCAAAAGGCTGTGACACTGGGAGCCGCCTGTGTGCTGTCCTGGACTGTGGTAAGGAGGACGCTGGACGGGTGACAAAGGCCTGATTAGAATCCTGGCTGTGCTGCTCACCAGCTGTGGGGAGTCGGGCATGGCCTTCTCCCCGCCGAGCCTCAGTGTGCCCATCTGTGAAGTGGGGATGACAGTGCTGACCTCATGTGCTCTTGGGGGGAGGGAAGGTATGTGAGAACACTTTGTGAGTTAGTGAGTGTGGCCCACATGAGAATTATCCTCCTGATGGTAGTCAGGGGTCAGCTAGGTCATTCTTTGTTTGACAAGTCTTTATTGAAGTCTTACTATGTGCCAGGCACTGTTCCTGGTGATGGGGACACAGCAAGGAATAAAACCAACCGACGTGCCCACCCTCCTGGGGCTCACATTCCAGTGTGGAGACAGGCAATAGAAAGTACCCCACTAAGCAGACATGGTAGCAGATGGTGATAACCACTGCCGAGCCAGTGGGCTCAGGAGAGGGGGTGGGTGGGGGCTGGTTCCAATGGGCTGGTTACCTGGTGGTGTTTGACCAGAGACCCGAATTAAGTGTGGGAATGAGCCCAGTGGGTATTTCAGAGAAGAACAGCCAGGTGAAGAGAAGAGTGAGTGCAAAGGCCCTGGGGTGGAGGCCTGTGTTTAAGGAACAGTGTGGAGGTGAGTGTGGCTCTGAGTGTGGCTGACTGGAGTGGTGTGAGCTGGGGAAGGTGTGGGAGATGAGGCAGGGGCAGGGCAGCTGGGGGGCGGGGGTGGCAGCTCAGGGAGGGCTGTGTGAGTCCTGGGAGAGGATGTGGATGTTATTTTGAGTGAGTCAGAAAGTCACTAGTTAAGGAACAACTTGGAGCTTGGGGACTTCTGCAGACCACCGCATGGCTCTTGGCCTACTCTTTCTCCCTCAGTCTGGATGAAAGGGATGGTGGGGACGCCCATCTTAACACCTGCCTCACAGGGTTTTTGAGAGACTCAGAACAAGTCAGGCAAAGGGGCTCTAACAGGGAGCCCCTCACGACTGGAGGGGCTGAGAGGGAGCTGAGGGCTTATGGGACCACGACCTGGGGACCTCCACCCTACAGCCCTGGACACTAGTGGGCCAAGTGTCCAGGGCCAACAGAAACCAGGCCCTGGGTAGGTAAGGGCTGGATAGAATAGACCTGCCCACACCTATCCGCCACCCTGCCCCCAACCCCACTCTCCCCCACCCACACTGTGCAGGGCAGGAGCACCCTTCTGGGGACTCCTGCTGGAGCATGTGCCCGGGACTCCTGGCCTGCCCTGCTGGCCCTGACTGTCCTGCAGCCCGGAGCTCAGCATTTTCACCAGTGACAGAAGTTGTCAGAATTTGGTCATCGGGCAAGTGACTTAACCTCTCTGTGCCTCAGTTTCCCCAACTAGAAAGTGAGCACAGTGTGGTTGTGAGGGTTAACGCATCTAGGGCGGTGCCTTGTACAGAGTGTCCAGAAGGTGAGAATGATAATGATAAACAGCACAGACGCATTGTTATCATTATTCTTATTCTTTTTCCCCAGGTCCTTCCCTTCTCCTCTCTGCTTCCTCCTCCTCTTCCTCTCTCTCCTTTCCTCCCTCTCTCCCTCTGCGCTTCCTTATTTTAGCCTTTCTAGCCCCATTTGATACACACCAGGACCTCCCTTGCTGTTCCCAGGAGCCCTGTGGCCAGCTGAGAAGGGAGCCTCCTGCTCCAAATGAGGCCCTGTGGCCCAGATGGGAAGCGACAGCCATGGTCCCCGTGGGTCAGGGCAGTGCTGGGCCTGGAACAGGCCTCCTGGCGCCCAGCTCAGGTGCTGAGCTGAGACGCTCACCCCCGAAGGCTGGGAGGTCTGTCCTGGCAAGCCACCTGGGGCTGGCAGCACAGGGCCCGCGGGCTTCTTTCACATGCTGGTTCTGCGGCCCATGGGTGACTCCATGGGGAGGGAGGGCCCTCCACAGGGCGCACTTCCCCCAGCGCCCCTGAGACTGATGTCAGTCCCTGAGGGGGGCGAACGTGGAAACAGCCGCCCGGGATCACTGATACAGCTGAGCTCGGCCTGAGACCGGCCTCAGGCCACACAGCCAGTAAGGGAAACAGGGCGAACTCCGACCTGCATGTTCTTCCTGCCGTCCACGTGGCCTCTGCGGTGGAGGCTACAGAAAGTGTGATGGGGTGGAAAGAGGCAGGATGAAACGAAATGACTGAATTTTCCCACCTCTTCCGGCGCTGCTCTTGGAGTCTCTCCCAGTGTGTGTGTCGTGCGTGACTTTGTGGGATCCTCAGGTTGTGCCTGTGTGTCTGTGGGTTTGGGGTGTGGAGAAGGCACCCAGCAGAGAGTCTGGTATCTAGTAGAGACTCAACACAGGCTAGTTTTTCTGCCCTTCCCTGACCAGATTATCAAGCAGATCCCAAATGGGGGAGACCCTGGGCAGAGCCTCACTTAGAAAAGACTGTTCCCCTTTGCATCAGCTCCCCGGACAGTCAAGGCAAATTGGACCGACAGGTTTCTATACAGCTCTGCTACAAGTGGAAGCTGGAACTCATTGCTTTGAGGGGATTCCCAGTGGCTTGTAGAGTGGAGCTCTGGCACGACCCTGGAGTCCAGTAAAGACCCACATATTTTTGGAGATGCCACCCGAGTCCCACCTCAGCGATTGGGACCCTTGGCTGTGGCCTCGCCTTTCATCAGAGGGAAGACCGAGGCCCTGGGAGTGGAACACATGAGCCTGTTGTTATGGCCTCAAGAGAACAAAGAGGAGAAGCCCCCACCCTAGGATGGGGGGTACCCCCACGAGAGTGCCCCCTCCCCAATAGACAGCAGAGGGCGGGTGGAGTGGATGCCTTATAGTCCCTTAAATGTCACCAGTGTTTCCTTTTCTTCTGCTGTCTGCTTTGCACCCCAGGGAGGAGAGAGACCGAGCGTCGGGGTATAGGAAGAGAGGTCCGAAACCCAAGCGGCTTCTGCTGCAGGTAACCCCGCCAGCTTTGGTGCTCACCCACGGGTCCCCCTTGCTCCTCCCACCAGCCCCCCATCTGTGCCTTTGCACCAGCTAGTGGAGCTGAACCACGTACCCTCCTCGGCTCCGCCCGGGGCACTGTGGGTGGGACACCTAGCGGGTAAGTTTCAGTGGGAGGAGTTGGGAAAAGTTGGAATATGGGGCTAGTGCCCCAGGAAGACAGCCTTGCGGGGAGGGACTGTGATGGGAGGGAGGGGATATATGGCTAATGGGATCCTAGAATTCTGAAACCTTAGAACCTTGTAGGTAAGCCTTTTGGATGCTCAAAGTCCCCAAAACACAAAATTGTAATATTTGAGAACCTTAGAAACATAAATGTTAGAACTGAGGAAACATGGGAGCCTGGAATTCTAGAATCTAAGAAAAGGAGACTCTTAAAATTCTGGAACCATAGCCTTGGAATGTCCTAGAAACATGACATTTTTGAGTGAGAAAAAACCTCCAGGGCCTCCTTTTCCAATCCTCTGCCAGGGGGCGTCTAGACTTGGCAGCACCCCGAGTTGCCCAGGTCTTGGGGGCACTTTGCTGACCTCACTGCTTTGCACCGAAAGGCGGCTGGGTCTGCAGTGGTTTGGTTGTGTGATTTGAGGCAAGTCTTTTAGCTTCTCTGAGCTTGAGTTTTCTCGTCTGTAGGATCAGGATGATAAGAATAGCTCTTCTCCTTAATAAGGTGTTTGGAGCCAAAACATAAGGCTTCCTGGTCCACGTGTAGTGTGAGCCATGGCCAGCCTCCTGCCCACTCTTGATTCTAGATCACCTGGGGCTTTACCAGAGTAGATGGGCCTCCCTTGATGTCGTGGGCATTTTCCACGGAGTGGTGTGAACTGGGTCCCAGGAAGGAAAGTAGCATCCGTCAGACGTCTTCTCCCTGCGAATGCTGCTCGCAGTGAGCACACTCCCTCCACACTCTCGCCCCGTGGGGATGGTGTAGGAGCTATCTGTTGCTGTGTAATGAGTTACCCCTAACTAAGCAACTTAAAGCAATACAGAGTTCATGTGTCACCCAGCCCCTCAGGTCAGGAACCTGGGAGCCCTTTAGTTGCTTCTTTCGTGATTCTGGCGCCGGTTACAGTCCTGATGTCAGCCAGGGCTGCGCTCCTCTGAAGGCTGGCTGGGGCTGGACCATCTGCTTCCAAGGTGGCTGCGCACATGCCCGGCGAGTCAGTGCTGGATGTTGACAGGAGGCCTGGTTCCTTACCACATGGGCCTCTCCAGAGGGCTGCTGAGTGGCCTCACAGTACAGCTACCGGCTTCCCCAGAGTGGGTGATCTGAGAGACAGCAGGGAGGAAGCATAGTGTCTCTAGCGACCCGGCCTCAGGAGCCCCACAGCACCCCTGCAGAGGGGACCGCATGCGTGCTTTCCTGGAGGCGGGTGTCCCCGGGGCTGTCTTCGGGGCTGGCTACTGCAGGTTCTTCGTGGTTTCACTGATGGGGAAACCGAGGCTCAGGGAGGTCACTAGTTTACCAGGGCCCCCAGCTGGGTTATAACCCAGAGCTGACTCCTGGTGCTCCTGGAGCCCTGTTAGTAGCTGTAGTTTTCTCATGGTGAGGTGGAGAAGGACAAAGACGAGTTCACCATGTAGAATCATGGGAGTGTTACTGGGCTTGTGACGGCCTACGAGCCAGGCTGAAGGAGCGGGTTTTGGTAAAGCTGCGTCTAGGATCAGCCCTCCTAGCTTTGCAGTACGGTCATGCATAGCTTAATGACAGGGACACGATCTGAGAAATATATCGTTGGGTGATTTCTAGGTGTCAAACCTGGATGGTGTAGCCTCCTACGCACTGGGCGCTGTGGTACTAATCTGATGGGACAGCCGTCCTGTACGTGGTCCGTTGTTGACCGAAACGTTATGCGGCGCATGACTATATTTTCCCAATACCCTCTCAGTTCAGCCCTCCTCCCGTCCCAGAACAGCCCGGGCCCTGTGCCTGGTGATGGGCATTAGCAGGCCCAACTGCAAATAGAGCCTGCGCGTGTGATCTCTGCTCCCAACTTGGAGATGTTTGACCTACAAGTTCCATCTGATGGCCTCACTCTCTTCCTAGGAGCTCTTGGCCTCTGGTGACAGGTGGCAGTAGAAGGTACTGTCCCAGAGTGATCCAGGCCCTCCCAACACCTCAACACCAGGAATCTTTCTTGGATTTGTATAAATTTGCCCCAAAGTCAATAAGACAAATCCCCAAATTACAAAACTCCAGCCCTTGAGTGGTGGAAGCATGTGGCTTCCAGCCCCGTTTTAACGAGAGTGAGATGGGGCATCAACAGAGGGCGGGACCCACGAGGGACCGCACTGTAGCTCAGAGCCGAGGAGCGCCTGGAGGGATGGAGAGGCGCCCCCGGCTGCTGGCAGAGCTCCGTCCTGGTGTCTGTCTGATGTGGTGCACCCCAGTGCTGTGTGTACCCTTTGGCTGACTTGTCCCAAGAAACTTAGCCCTCTGCATCACACCATCTCCCTAAAAGCTAGCTGTTTCAGCTTTGGGAGTCCTTTAGTAAGCAAAGATTCCTTTCTGTAATGAGGAATAACTCCTTAATTTATCTGCTTCGTAAATCCAGATTTGTTTTTGTTGGTCAGTTTTCAGTTTGTACCTCTCGTACGCTCCTCTGCTGTGTACCAAAGGAATATGCCCTGGCCCCCATCCCTGAGCCACTTACAGCCCCCTAGGGAGATGAGGCTGCACTGTGGGGCCACGATGAGCGGCTGGGCCGGGCTGGGCCTGGGGCTGGGGCTGGTCAGGGGTGGCTCTCGGGGCTGGGGTGGGGTAGGGGTGCTCGCTGGCTGGGGGGGAGGAACAGCATGAGCAAAGGCGCGGCAGCGGGTGGGAGGGCAGGGCTGACCCGCCGTGCCCTGGCTTGCCCCCGCAGCGGCTGTACAGCATGGACCTGCGGAGCTCCCACAAGGCCAAGGGCAAGGAGAAGCTCTGCTTCTCCCTGACGCGCCCACTCGGCAGCGGGAGCCCCGAGGGGGTGGTCAAGGCGGGGGCGCCCGAGCTGGTGGACAAGGGCCCCTTGGTGCCCGCCCTGCCTTTCTCGCTCCGCAAGCCGCGCAAGGCCCACAAGTACCTGCGGCTCTCACGCAAGAAGTTCCCGCCCCGCGGGCCCAACCTGGAGAGTCACAGCCATCGACGGGAGCTCTTCCTGCAGGAGTCGCCGGCCCCGGACGTCTTGCAGGCGACCGGCGAGTGGGAGCCTGCTGAGCAGCCCCCTGAAGAGGAGGGTAAGGTGGCCCAGGCCCAGAGACCCTCAGCCTGGAAAGGTCCCCGAGTCATCAGTGCCCAGAGAGGGCCCAGGTGCTCCCGAGGCTGCACAGCCTGCAGGGACTCTCACACCCAGCCCAGAGCTCTTTCTGTGGTCCCACTCCAGATGAGCTCTTGTCCAGCCAGGGAAGATAAAGGTAGTGACCCCCTCCGTGTGTCCAGCCTTGAGCCAGGCCCTGACCTGACTGGAGACTCAGAGGAGGACCCGGTGCTGGAGGGGGGCAGTCTGCATGTTACCACCTGCTCCCACCTTCCCACCTTGTCATCAATGCTGTCCCCTGTCTGTCTGTCTGTCTTTTTCCCATGGCTGCAGCAGATGCAGACCTGGCCGAGGGCCCCCCTCCCTGGACACCCACGCTCCCCCCAAGTGAAGTGACAGTGACCGATATCACCGCCAACTCCATCACCGTCACCTTCCGCGAGGCCCAAGCGGCTGAGGGCTTCTTCCGAGACCGCAGCGGGAAGTTCTGAGTCACCGTTTTTACTCTTCTTAAACTGTTTTCTTTAGGGCTTGGGGTGGGGACTTCCAGAGATGGGGAGGGATTGGGGTGGGGTAATTATTTTATTTAAGAAAATATGGAACAGGAGATGTGGGGGGAGATCTCACCCCCACCTGCCCCTCTGCCCCTTTCTCTATGCGTGATGTTTATGGAGAAGCCGTGGGCTCTGTTTCGGGGGCCGGGAGGCCTGGCACTGCTCTGTCAGTTGGGATGTCATCTCCAGGGCAGAGTGGGGACAGACCCGCTCTCCCCTGGACACCTCTGTCACCGTTCTTCTCCACAGACACAGCAGCTGGTCCTAGAAACTAAAGGAGGGTGGGAAGGCCCCAACCCTCCCCTGTGAGCAGCCCACCCCAGCCTTTCTGGTTGGTCCCCCTTTCCTTTTTTGGGGGAGGGGTCTTTATTTTTGACTTGCCACTCCAGCTTTGTGGGGGGATGTGGAGGCTGGCTTTGGCCAAAAGTGACTGGTCAGAGAGGAGGGTAGGAGGAAGGGTTTGAGATTGCTGGGGTGCACCCACGCCCTTCAGCGAGGCCTCTGCCTTCCTGGGGGCAGCTGCCAGCTGAGCCCCTTCGGCCGAGAGCTCTGCCCGCCCGACCTGGCCTGTGAGAAATGCTTCTGTGCACACCCAGCCGCACAGGTGTGCACACACTGCCCCTCGCGCCCTTGTGACTGCGTACACGTGTCTGCAGATGTGTGCAGTGGGTCTTGCAAACCTCCTGTTTAGAAGCCCTGACCAGGTGAACATGCGGTGATTCACAGCGCAAAGGAACTTGCCATGGGCACCCCACACTCACCCCACCGTGCATGGCCCGTCACGGGACAGCATCTCTTCTAGCTCATTGTGCTCACAGCTGTCAGCGGAGGGCAGGGTCCAGCTGTGGACGTCCCAGGCATGCAGATGTGTTCTTGGGGCTCCACCTGGCCAGCTGCAGTGTGCAGGGGGGCTGGGCGCCAGCACATGCTCCGAGGCTCTCAGGGCCCTGTCCTTCCTCTCCTGGGGCTCTCGTCCTCTCTGACTCAGGTGGCTTTTCAGCCCATCCCACTCCCCTCTTTCTCTGCCCTCCCTTCCAACTCGGCCAACCCAGGCGCAGTGTGGGTGGCCAGGAGGAGGGAGTGTCCCACCACCTTCTCAGGGCAGCCTCGACTCCTCATGCCCTTTGCCCTTCCATCCTGTGTCCCTCTCCATCCACCCTAAATGCCACAGCTGGGGCTGACCAACTGTTCTTCTGCGGGGACAGGGGCGGCGGTGGGGAGTACCTTGGCTGTGTCTTTTCGTGGTCGGCTGCAGCAGTGGATGGTGGGTCAGGCTGTGCACAGCCCCACGCCCTGGCAAGTGACTGTGTTTGCCAGATGGAAGCTTTCTAGTTTGCACAAATGTGTCCTGTGGGCTAGCAGCCTCCCTGGCATTGAGGAGTGACGTCTCCCCTCTCCCAGCCCTGTGGGGTGAGAAAGCCAGAGTGGGGTGGGCGCTGGGGGAGCCAGTACAAGGTTGGCTCCCTGCGCCCCATTGTCAGGGTTGGGGCACTGCTGTGCCCCGCTCGCCCTCCGCCCAGGGCTGTCCCCCGCCCTCTGCTGTGTCCTGAGGAAGTCAGCAGAACCCCTGCTGAGGCAAGGATGGGGCGACTCTTCCCACAGACCCCTTCCCACATTCCCAAGCCAAAGACAGCCTGCACCCCATTTCTGTTTGGGGTGCCCTGCTGGCAAGATTCCCAAATCCCTGAGTCTCTCTCCCCTTCCTCGTTAATCCTTCATTGTCCAGGGTCAATTCAGTGCTTCCATTGGGGGATGTCCCCTCAGGGGGGCTTGACTCACCCCCAGCCTGAGGAGTGGAATCTAGGGGAGTCTGCGGGGTGTGTCAGGGAAAGGGGGGCAGCAGGGAACCCCACCTTCCCAACTGTGGGGCCCTGGGGGTCAAAGGGCAGCTAGGAGTTGGGGCTCTCCCAGGACGGGGGCTCCTGGCAGAGGCGAGGTGGTGGAGGGGCCTCTCTAACTGCATGCTGTCGGCCGTGGCTTTGGGACGTGGCTGGCAGCTGCCAATAGAAGTCATCCTCCCCATCCTCGGGGACGTGGGACCTCCCCCGCCTCATGGGCACTCTCAAAGAGCTCTTTGTGCACTTTGTGGGTTTGGGGGCCCTTTTGTGGAATGAGCAGCTGTTTTCTGGCAGCTGCTGCGGAACCTTCTTGCCTCTTAGCCCTTCATGGCCCACAGGGCGCCCTGAGGCTCGGGGGCTGAACCCTCAGCAGACTGGCCCCTGGGGGAAGGGCTGTGGGCGAGAGACCTCTCTGAGGGGCTGGGTGTGGCGGGCAGTCCTCCTCCCAGCCCTGAGCATCCCAGCACAGTGAGGCGAGAGGGAGTGAGGCCGACACTGACCTCCTGACCCCACCACCGCCACCCCAGAAGGCCAGTACTCCCGGGGGTGGGAGGCTCAGAAAGAGTTGGACCACTGGTCTTTCCTACCCCCAGCCCCACCCGTTTTGAATGTAGAGAGACTGGTTGGTACTTTTCTTTTGCCGTGGGCTGGGGCGAGGACAGTGTTCCTCCCCCTGGCACGGCCACTTGGGGCCGAGCCCTTTGGGCGTCCTGAAGATCACCCCTCCTAGAACAGTGATCGATGATCGATGATCGCATTGCCAACTTTCTCCTCCTCTCCGGCTCGGGGAAGGCACTGTGCTGCCAGGAGGTGGTTTTACTTTTGCTCTGTAAGTGGCAGCCTGGCCTCCGGGTCCCAGCACGAGAACGCTTCCTTTGCACAGAATGGGCATCGAGTTTTGTTCAGACGAAATGAATGTATTTGGGAGGGTTTGGGGCCGAGTTGATTCCAAGCACATGCCTTTTCTGAGTGAGTGTGTGCTGGGGAGAGCTAGTGTGGATGCAGAGCACGGTTTTATTTTTGTACTGATATTGGTAAGAGACTGTATAGCATCTATTTATTTAGATGATTTATCTGGTAAATGAGGCAAAAAATTATTAAAAATACATTAAAGATGATTTTAAAAAAGCTCTTGCATTCGATCCTTCCTTTTGATGGTGTCACAGTTGTACCAAGGAAAGTGCTTCAGCCCCTGGGACAGCAGCCTGGGATGTAGGTCCCAGCTCGGCCAGTGACTGACCGTTTTCTTGGACAGGTCATTCCGTTTTCTGAGCCCTCCAGACGTACCGTGAAGATTGATTTGGGTGATGGGTGGAACCGGAAATTGGAGAGTAGATGGGCAGGTGCCCACTGCGGTGGTCCCTGCAGGGCATCATCAGAGGCCAAGCAGAGCTGCTGGTCTCTGCTCCCTGCCACGAGTATTGTGTTCTAGAACCTGGGGTGTCCAGCATCCTAGGCCTCTCCAGTTGCAGGTTCTGGAAGCCAGGACTGTCATGGCCTAACTCTCATCTACCGTTGTGTTCAACCAACCCAGAGAGTGGTGGTCAGAGCAAAAAAGAGTGAGTGAAGGGAGAGTTCTCCAAGTGTGCGTGGGAGTGGGCAGGGCTGGCAGCGTGGAGGACAGGTAAGATGCTGCTGCAGCCCCCCAGGTGGGGATGGTGGTGGCTACAGCCATGGACGTGTCTGTGAAAGGGGGAGAATGGATAGGCTGGAGGTAGACTTAGGTGGTAGGATTGTCGCGACATGGCATTTTTGCCATCATGTGGTGTGAGGCGCAGGGAGGTGTCACAGTTATGCCCAGGTTTCCAGTTTGGAGAACTGTGTAATGGTGGCTCTTTATCTGGATGGAGACTGAAGAAGGAGAAGCAGGTTTGGAGGTGCCTTGGTCACCCCAAAAAACAGAGCCTAAACAAGGGTTTTATAGGCAGAGGGTGTATTTGGGAAGTGATCCAAAAAGCGGGGATGGGGGATTAGAATGGGTGAGGGAAGAAAGAAAAGTCATGATAAGGAGCATTAATGAGGTCACCATTATGGCGATTGGCATGTCATCCTACCTGAGATCACCCAAGAAGTATACAGATGTCCCCTAGAATTGTCCACTCCCAAAGGATGAGGGATGGGAGCATTATCCATTGAGTGCCATCCATCTTTGTTTGAGGGTTGCCCTTGGGTGTGCTAACCAATACCCCAGCTTCCAAGCTCTGCATATGCCAGCTTCCACCTGTCTGTTACCCCGTCCATTGTACTGGAAGAGCCTCGGGTAGAAAGTGGAGATGTGCACCCAGTACAACCCCATGTGGAACTGTCTACCCCATCCACAGCTGCAATCAGAGTTGAGGCCAAGCCACGAGTGCCCAAGGGGGCCACTCAAGGTGTCTGACACAGTCCACCCCTTGCAGCGCTCCACTTTGCGCATTATCCATAATAAATCCACTCTTTTGCTGAATCTTCAAAGAGGTGGCCAGTTACAATCTCTATAAATGAAGACAATAACTGATGGTTAGTGGGACAAACCACAGTCCTCGGTGCTGCTGCTGGCCCCAAGGCTGTAAGTGATACCCATCATCTCCCTCCTTCATCACTCTCTGCCCCCCACTCAGCCAGCCTTCCCACTCGTCTAGGTTATTTGCCTGGTGGGGTGACTCAACCTCTTGTCCATGAAGAGTCTGAATTTCGTTGATTGTCCTTGTCCCATCAGGCTGAGGCTGCAGCAAGTGCCGTTTACAGTCACCTGTGGGCACCGAGACATGCTCAGTGACAGACCGAGTCCTCTCTGCCCACAGTACGGAGCAGCGACCCGGCATCTCTTGTAATCACCGTCAGTTAACCTCATCAGTTTAATTTCCACTCTTTCTGCCACAGTGACCCGGTGGTAGTTGCAGCTCCAGTTTCTGGGGAATTCCTTACACTGTCCCCTGGTAGAAGCGTTAGACCTCTGATCTGCCAGGGTCCGAGCTGCAGTGGTGAGGAGGGCCAGTCAGGCTTCCACCCCTTGGCCCTCCCTGGACGTGGCTCCATTGGTTCAGTGCATGCACTAGCCCTGGAGGACCGTGCCCAGCTCCGCAGGTGCTGGTGCTGGTGACGGTGTAGACTGTGGGCTGTGAAGGCAAACCCACGTCCTGAGTGGGCATGCAGTCTGGTAAGTGTGAACTGCTGACCTCTCCAGCGGGGAAGGAGTACTGTGCAATCAACTTGCCATGAACTATCCAGCTGATCTCCTTGAGGGATGGTCCTGCATCGAGGGCTCACCATCAGTATCTGCCTCTGACAGGTTGCATGTTCATCAGCTGTGGGCACTAGTCGTGGGACCGGCTTTGTGAAAGGAAGCCCATGCTGTTGGGCCCATGCGTAGCCTCCATTTCATCCACTGTGGCCTGTCGATTGGTGGGCTGATTGTGTAGGCACCGGATGGCAAGGACTGGCCGGCTGCCTCCCACTGTCAGATGGATAGATGGATGGATGGATCATCCTATCCTCCTGTTTCTTGAGTCTTCTCCACAGTGAGTGCTCTCCAGTGGGCACAAATCTGAGATACAGTCTGACCCCTTCAAGAAAACATAGTCAGATATAGTAAATCCATCCCCGAATTTCTACCAACCTGAGCCTTCTGGCTCCTTTCTCAAACCTATGCCAAGGCTGCTTTAGCATCATTATGGTCACTTGCAGAGGCAGATGGAGCCACTCACCCAAAATTTGATTCAGATGTTAAGATTTATGCCACACACACACACACACACATGCACACACCAAGAGGGTATGAAAATATCAATTCCATACATCATTGAGGTCTCTGGGGAGAGCAGGGCGGGCCTCTCAAGCAGGTCAGAATGGTCAAAGAGAGCCAGGAAAGGCACTGGTCAGGGTTTCCCGGGGCTGGATGGTGGGCTGGGCTGAGCATTCCTGTGTGAGCAGAGGCCTGCGTGGTTCAAATCTCCTGCCGGTGCCCAAGAAGGCACACCAGGCTTTCTTATCAGCTTGCTCAGATGAGGGCACAAGGGGAAGAGAGAGAAATGAGGCTTAAAAGCTGTCAGCAGTTGAGCATCAAAAAGGGATTCAGACTCCTCATGACAGCATCTCTGTCCTGTAGGAGGCTGTCGTCATGCCCAGGCGCATGGAGCCATCTTGGCAGTGCACTGGGACTGGCGCCAGTGTCCTTGTCAGTTTGTTAAACCCTGACTCGTGGAGAGCACCATCCCGTCAGCCCCTCTCCCTGTCCAGTTTATTTTCCCCTCCAAGTCTCAAACCCTCAAGTCCAACCCCACGTGTGCACCCCACCTTCCTTCTTGTGTGTGTTAGTGGGTCTTGCTAGTGGGACTGCCTGGGTCTGTGCTGGGATGAGGAGGGGAGGCGAAGGTGACTCTTGAGAAGGAAAAGTGCCATCTTGAGGGGTATTGGCCTCAGATGAGGCCTTCGCGTGGCCACCAGGCAAGGGGTCTGCTCTTCCCTAGTCAGGGTGACAGGCTTCCGAGGCCAGCCTGAGGACCCAGAGGATTCTGGTGGTCAAGCTTCTCAGACCCTTTATGTCAAATGTCCCCAACCTATGGCTTAGGGTTCTGTTCCTTCCCTGTCAGGGCCCTCAGCTTAGCACAAGGGGCCTGCCGAGGCTGTGCCTTACATCTCCTTTGCAGCTCTGCACCTCTTATAACCAAATGTCGGGCCTGATGGTCAGCTGGATATGCCCCGTGGCAAGAGAGCATGGCCCTTTAAACACTGTCATATGTAAAGGGTGAAAAAATATATATATATGTGGAAAATAACTTTATTTTCCAAAACTCAGAAGAGGCCTGCTTTCACAGCACGGCCTGAGTTGAGAGTGGGCTGACTTGAGGCTGCCATTTTCTTTCTTCAGGGTTTTGCATTGAGCCAGCTCCACCATTCAAGGCCCAGAGCTGTGCGTGTCCCAGGGCTGCATCTCTGCATCCCTTCCTGGTCCACAGGTGGTGAGGCTGCAGCACCTCAGGGATGATCACCTCCCTGTCTTTTCTTTTTTTTTTTTTTTTTAAAGATTTTATTTTTTTTTTCCTTTTTCTCCCCAAAGCCCCCAGGTACATAGTTGCATATTCTTCGTTGTGGGTCCTTCTAGTTGTGGCATGTGGGACGCTGCCTCAGCGTGGCTTGATGAGCAGTGCCATGTCCGCGCCCAGGATTCGAACTGACGAAACACTGGGCCGCCTGCAGCGGAGCGCACGAACTTAACCACTCGGCCACGGGGCCAGCCCCACCTCCCTGTCTTTTCCAGCCTTGGGTCCTTGCTGCTGTCTGACTAGTAGGGGATCCAGTTCCACATCCCACCTGAAAATGCGCTTTTGAGGTCCGTGTCTGTCTTGGCTTTGCTATCTGTCATGGGTCGAATCGTGAGCCCTTTCCCCCCGCCTCTCTCTATTGAAGTCCTGACCTCCGGGACTTCCAAATAGGACTTCATTTGGAGACAGAGTCTTTACAGAGATAATCAAGTGAAAACGAGGTCATTAGGATGGGCCCTAATTCAGTGTGACTGGTGTCCTCCTAAAAGGGGAAAATTGGGACCCCGTGACAGACACAAAGGGAAGATGAAGTGCAGAGACACCGGGAGTAGATGGCATCTGCAAGCCAAGGGGAGAGGCCTGGACCGTCCTTCCCACACAGGCCTCAGAAACCAGCCCTGCCAACACCGTGATTTTGGACTTCCAGCCTCCAGACTGCGAGACAAGACATTTCCATCGTTTAAGCCCCTCCGTCTTGGTTACGGCCTCTGCAGCACACTGCTACAGGGTCTGAGAGAACAAAGTCTGACTAGGCTTGGCTCTAGGCACTTTATTTGGGAGGTGGCCCTAGGGAACAGGAGCGAGGGCTGGGGAGAGAGGGACAGGGAAGGAGGAAAAGCTGAGAGAAGCTGTCTCATTGAGGTGGATGCTGTGGGCAACGGGGACTGGACTCCGTCTGGACTTGCTGAGAAGTTTTCAAACGCCTCCTCAAATTGTCTGCCCGGAAGATGGAGTGATTATCCACAGGCTCGCGTCTCTCACTGTCAAGGGTGCCTGGGGCATTGACTCCCTCTACTTAGGAGCTGTGTTCGTGCAGAGGCCAAGGGAGCTCCTGCCGGCATCAGAGGAGCCCCCTGGGCAGGAAGTGAAGAGGGGCCACCCCGG